GATATTTCAGTAAATACACAAAAGTGTGCAGCGATGAAAGACAGTGCATAGATGACAAGATGAGGCGTCCTTAGCATTATTTTGCAGAATTTTTTTTTGATTTGTTTTGCAGGATTTATTTTAATTGAATTAATTTGCTCTGTTAGAGGGGGTCGTGCCAGGATCTCGATTTCGGGGGGGGGTCGTACCTCTGCGACCACGTACTCGACACGATTTTCACCCTGATCCCGACGTTAGCGCGAAGGCGACGAAGATTGTCAAAGCAGGAGTTGAGCCACATCTTCTCAATCTCAAACGTCCGATTCGGGTCGTTAGGCTTTCGTACGAATCGATGTATGGTCAAATGCTTGACTAGGAACACATCACTGAAGTCTCTGCTGTCCAAGAGACAGTTCTTCACCAGAATCAAAAACGGCGGGTACGGGCGGTGTCTTCTTGTCTGGATCAGTCTTGGCGTCAATTGATCCTCGTGGATGTTTGTCAGACCTTTGACGCGAGCTTTGGATACAAAGTTCGTGCGTTTATGTGCAGATCGCCATCTTAGTCCTTCTTGTCTTAGTTACCCCATCAAAGCCTAAGATTCCGAGCGGTCCAACCCAATGCTGCTGCATTGGGGGAATGGGCCCATTCACAATGCAGTTTCCGGCATTTTCACAGCCCACTAGTGCTTGCAAGGCTTCGTCGTGTGACTGGGGCAGGATTAGCTACGCTATCCCGGAGCGGAGCGTGGGCCTCTGTTTTTGAAGGGGGACCATAACCGCCTTTCATGAGCTTACCACTCTAATGGATGCAACTTTGACTGGTTTGACAGACATATACGAGAGCGCCACGCACCAAGCATGCATGAAGAGCTTGAGTGGAGACAATTAGTGTGAACTGAGACAGCACTGCAGAGACAGGGAGTTCAAATTGAACTGGGTCTCAGGAGTACATTTTGGAGAAAATGGTGGATCTTTGTCTGCAATTCACCCTCATCTTCCACATACGGTTGTGCCAAGTAGCCTCGCCACGATTGCAGTGAGAAACGTCCCTCAGTGAAAGTGAGCCGTAGAGCATAATCATGGTGACAAATTAATTGCATCCCAGTCCGAACTATAGTGGTTGAACTGTGAGAAATTGAGAAAAAGTTGGCGATGCTTTTTGTTAGGAATTTCGTCAATGAATCGACCAGCAGGGTTAGAATTGTGGATGGTGATCTGCGACCACGTTTGAAGAACTTTTGATGCCATTGTAGAAGTTGAACCTTGCAGACCATAACCTAGCGGTCATGTAGTTTACGGTCTCTGGAAAAATGCGTAAGAGGTCGGTGATCATAAAGTACGCGAGTGTGGTTGATAGTTGGGCGAAAAAAAAACGAAAAGCACTCATAGCGAAGACCCTGATGTGATCTGGTCTCTATTTTTGCTACAAAGTTGACAAGGTCTTTCTGAAGTTACCGATCGCCTTCAATGAAAGCGAAGGATCCTGGAGCCGGAGGAGAGCTGTTTCCACAGCGGCCTTTCTGTCGTACGTGTCTTTGCTTTGTAGAAATGCCAAACACATGCTTTGACCTAGCCCTCTATCAAACGAGAGAAGGGTGCATCGTGCAGTTAGTCTCCTAGTAATGACGCTCTATCCCTGCACAGCGCACGTAGCGGACCCAGGCGAAAGCCATCACGAATTTTGGAAACAATGAAGAAATTTGGTTGCCGAACTGACGAAGAGACAAAGCGCGGCTAATTACCTAGGAATACGACCCTATTGAGCTGAGGACCAGGTGGTTGACGGATGGTATACAGGCTCCTAACTGCAGGCACACAACTGCTTTCAAGCAACCTAGTGCTGCGAGAAAAGCAGCGCGGAATAGTCTAGCGGCTTTGTTAAGCTTCTCAAACTTCTTTCGTTATACTATGTGAGCCTATTGTTCTCCAAAGAGGAGTGCTGGAAGCATGCGCATCGAACCGCCAAACGGCCAGCAAGATGGAGCATTGCCCGCAGTTTTCAAAGAAAATTGGTTTGGGAAGTTTTAGAGTCTAGCTAGGGCGTGGCGACTCCCGGTAGATTGCTCAAACGTTTGCCGCCCGCCGCAAAGGAATTGTTGAGGTTTTCGTAGGTTTTCCCGTCGTAAACTTGAGATGGGAACGCAGCCTTACCTCATGTGTCGTTTCGCGCCTGTGTTACGGCTTACGTCGTGGCATCGCGAAACATCTTGACTCCCAGCACTGGAGAAAGGCATCATTTTGTCGGTTGGCTCGATGAGAACCTCTCCTTTGATTGGTAAGATTTTAGAAGCTGAGCAGAAGTCGCGAGTGTGGATAAAATAGACGACTTAGCACGACCAGTGTAAAGCGGGCCTTAATAGAAGAGGAGCCAGTAGCGTGAGAGAAAGTTTCATCATTTCAGGGAAAGTGCGTGGTTGAGCCCTTAGGAGATAAGAGGAGGAAGCGAAGCAGGATTGTCAAACATAGATGGAGTGGGAGTCATCGCATGACGAGAAAAATAAAGGAATAGCCACCAGCGATAGATGGAAGAGAAGATGTTATCTGAGCAATGGATGCTAAAAGAAAATAAGCCATATAAAAATGCGACACCTCAACGTAGTTGAGAAAGCGCAGCAGAGAAGTGATAAAACCGCTGAGCTGAGGAAATCAAAGGATATCCCCCGCGCTCGTAAATATGCTGCGACTTACAATCCCTTGAAGTAAAGTGAGAGGCATGGAGCCGGCGCTGGAGCTAAGAGGGACAGCGTTCTAAAATAGTGTACCATTTTTACGGCAACCATATAATTGGCGAGCTGATGTTCTGCCATGGAAGAAGAAAGGATGTCGTGACGTGTGCACGCAAGACAGAAATTCGCTTCCCTTGCAAAGACAGGACTTGGATAGCTAGGCAAAAGGGTAAACCTGCGCAAGACGGGTTAGATCCAACATCTCCTCACCCGATCGCCATATTAAAGAATACGGAGTGTTACGGTCCCGTTTGCAGTTGAAATCAGAAGTAAATTCAGAAGAAAGGAATGGAGGTGGTGAGGAATTCCAGAGCGACTGCTTAGCACAACATTGGTCACGGATTACCGCGAACCTTACTATTATAGATAGTAGGACAATGTGTACATCTATGAAAGCAATTAATGCAAAGCATCAATCGCTATCTTCCACAGTACGCTATGACATGAGAGTTTAACTCCACAGCAACTATTTTATTCAGGTTTTGTGTATGATGGTGGCAGAAGTATTGTTCTTCCTGTTCTGGGAGTTATGGGACATGGAGGAAACCGACGCATTGTACTTTCTACTGGCTGAAACCTCTATTTTGTTATTCTACGATGTGCTTATTCTCCCATACCTTATTTTCAACGGGTTTGTGAATACGTCTCAATAATTATTTCTATGGCCCGTATGGAACAGCTTCGACATTGTTTTTATCGCAGTAACACGTGTTTCAGAAAAATCCGTTCAGAGATCAGGCGCATGTTCAGACTTCACATAGGAGGTTTGTTGTTCTGAAGATATATATAAACATATATATTAAGCCATGAGAAATCATCCTAAAGTGTGCCAACATGCGGGAAACATGTTTTTGACTTGACAATTTCGCCATACCTCACAATCTTGTGATCAGTGCCGCAACGTGAACTGCGGCGTAAAAAAAGCAGTTAGAAAATAAAGCATGTTGCAAATATTTTTGGAGTTTTCGCGTCTATTCAAGTTCCCCGAAATCTCTTCAACCAACAACGACATATGACTCAGATTAGGCACCGTCTTGTAATTGCGCCATTTAATCAAACAGTGCAAATATTTAATCTCTCCTCGCCCATCACGGAGATCTGATATTTCTTGAATTCTGAATAAATGTTGAATGATTTCGCACACGGTAAGGGGCTGCCATCGTCTGGAGCGTAACACACAACTTGTGTTGAACGACTTAGGATACGACACGCTCATCATCCTGCTCCTCCCACGATATGCACCAGATGTTCCTTTTCTGGCTACCTATTGTTTCAGTGCCTTGACAATTTCCTGAAGGGAAGATGCTTTGATATCGAGCCTTGTCCTACACTGTCTTCATCAACTTAATTGAATCCTAAAATCATAGGCTTTCCTGATGGAGATCATCGTAGAAGCTTCTATTTATCGTCTCTGGATCAAAGCCGGTATTGACATTGGTTCACGAATAACATAACAAATAGCCTATAGTAAGAAATGGCGATAGCAGGAAGGTGGATGTAGGTATATATAAGAACAGCTGCGCGCATTCGCAGAGTTTTCAATATATGGAGCTCGACTTCGTCTGTGTTTTTTCTGAACACTTTTGTCTTGTGCCAGTTTTGAAAAATTGAATTTTGCTTTATTTTGATATTATGTCTTTTCTACATATCGCCCTACATTCACTGAGTCATACCGACAAGGTGATTTGCTACGTTACATTCAGATTCAAGGTGTCTCATACTGTCGCGTACACATGATTGAACAATTTGTGAATTCAGGGAACACTGCATCGAGAAACGCACATAGCAAACTTCCAACGACCGTCGTCTCCCGACTCAACACTATGGAAGTGCGACCACTTTCGGTCCAAGCTGTACAGTTTGCGAGAACTTCACGAGTATGAATCAAATGAAACCCTTGAAAAATTCACTATGTGGCTTCAACCTGGAGGCAGGTTGTAGGACGGGAACACTTTGGCTGAAAGGGGTTGGCCGTAAGGGATAGTGGCTAACAAAGCCTGATAAGAAGAGTCGAATGAAATTATGACTGTGTGCTTGCTACGTGTTTACCCGCGATGAAAAATCCTCGCACTGGAAAATGGTAAAAGTGACACGATGGGTGGGAAAATTAACTTTGATGAAAGGCTCCACAAGATTTGGGAGTGATCAGAGCTTTCATGACTTTTAAGTTTCTATTTGTGGTAGAGCCTGAAGAAGTTTTCTGTAGCATTACCTCTTCAAATCGTCGAACAAGAAATAAAGTTAGAAGAGTAGAAAGTGGCTGGAAAAAGCTCAAGAACAGGTGAAGCATTATAACATAACTTGACTGAATAGAAAACAAAGCTTTGGGGAAAGAGACTTCTTCATGTTCCTTTCCATCTCGAGGCGTGACATTAACAATAAAAATGAACGACAACAATGATGACTAGATGCTGAACCCACATCAACACAAACCGAAGTGTTACGCAGGTCTCGTGACAGTTCCGTCTGCGTTTACGTTGCGCGGTGATGTTTTCGTGCGGGTGGTTGTTACTGAATGTGTCCTTAGCAAAGCGGCTCTGTCTACTAGTGCCTACCGGTTGAGAAAAGACAGGCAAGACCGAATTGTGTCCCTCTCTTCTTATAAGTGATCAATTCATAATAGAGTCTTTAGCAGAGCTTCTCTTTTACCAGGAAAGGTCATTTGGTCAACCCGGCCTATTGAAATGAGATGTATATGTGTATACGCTTGGGACGCTGAGCTCAAATATGTGTTCCTTATCTGCTGAACTCTTCTCTGAAAGGAAGCAGAAAAGCGCAGGGGCTGTGGTCGAGGCTCACGAAAAGAGGTCAGGGGATCAACTCCCTGGCGAGTTTGTTCTTTTGCCGTTTGCAGTAAGATAGCTAGGAAGACTCCTAACATCGCTAGTCCAACATGCTTGCGTATAGTTAACAGTACAAAGAATTTAAGGGCAATTAATAACGAACTTGGGCGGCATCGCTCCTCACTACTTTGGGCGCTTGTAGCGCAGGCGCCAGGCATTTTTGCTTCGAACAAGTATGATATTCGTAATCAGGGAGCCAGACTCTCCCTTTGAGCAAACTTCTAGCGAATTCTGAAATTTTGACCTAACCTCGAAAATTTGGGCAGTTACTCACCGATCCACCAATCCATTACAAAAGGCTGGCACTTGGGTAGAATAAACCTTCTGAACACTTTTCAGAATAGACGTCTGGCTTGCCCGTCTGCATCATCCAAAGAGCACCAAAGGATCATATTCAAATGCAACCCCTTGTCTCTCCTCTTCCCCTTCGTCAACCCAAAAAAGTGGTTTGAGGAGTGAATCCCATCACTTTTCTCAATTAGCTCATGACCTCAGATTTTGCGAAAAAAATCGTTTTTTGGGGGTAGTTTGATCCCCTGAATACGAATATCGTACCTACTTGCCACGCATAGCACCTACACTACGGGCATCATGGGCACTCGTAGACGAGTAGTGCTTGAGCTTTTATTTGTCCAATACGCTATGTAAGACAGCGCGAGAGAGGAAAAAATATGAAACAACCGTAACAGGAAAACAGAACAACACAATACCAGAAACGAAACAACTAGACCGAGACACTAGACACCTATGCATGTAGTATTTGCTTTGCTGCAATCCGTTTGAAGGATGCACAAGAGCCTTGGATGGATATAGATTTGGTGATACGCAAATACATGAGACCAGCTCTAATGGTGAAAAATTTTTCCTAAGAGTGGTTTTAGGCCTATTGAAGGATAACTTGGACTCTCCACCCCTGGTTCTGGATGGAATAAGGTCATAAAAGCTAGAAAGTTGATACCAGTTTTATAATTCAGCAGTCTGTGTAACATGCACAAATCAAAAAGGTCACGTCTGGAATGCAAGGAAGGAAGATGAAAAAATTTATTTCTTATAACAGCGTTTGGGATTCTAGCATACAAAAAGCCACCGCGACGCACAAGTGGTTTTCTTGTAAAGTTATTCTGAACCTTTTTAATGAGAGCCGTGTCTTTTTTCTTATGAGGGCAAAATACAACAGTTCCATGCTCTACCAATGGCCGTACATAAATCTTGTAGGTAGGTACGACGAAATATTTTCTACGGATTTCCTTGTAATGTTCAGAGGAATCAAGTTTGTTCATTGTATCAATAACCTAAGTCCTTAACCTTTTCTACTTTACGAATCTCTTGGACCATTTATAAAATATGAAGTTGAGATGGCAGAAGAAGCACCTATACGCATGTGAAAAGTTTTGGTAGAGGAGAGAGGACCACTGCCAATCTTCAGACCACTGTACAAGCATATTAATAGAATTCTGTAATGAGACTGAGTCTTGTGGAGAATTATTACTTTGTAGAATTTGAGGATCGTCAGCGTATTGTTTGGCAGTAACTTCGTCATTATAACTGATGAAGGCCAAATCAGCAGAGAAAATAGTAAAGAGTATGGGAGACAGGACCCCACCTTGAGGAATTCCACTATGGATACAAAAGACATCAGAGTATGAAGTGTTTATACGTACTTGGTAGGTTCCTTTCACTTAGAAACTCCTTAATCCAGCTGAACACTTTTTCATGAAGTCCTAGTTTTTCTGAGTTTGTGCAACAGCTTATTGTGACTGACCTTATCAAAAGCCTTAGTGAAATCAAAATATATCACATCAACGGACTTTTTGTTGTCCAATGCGTTTGTCCAATCATTGAGTGACTCCAATAAGTTGGTGATAACAGATTTTCCTTAATGAACCCATGCTGGGAAGGAGGAACTACTTTGTTTTCCTCCAAATGGCGGAAGAATGTGCGGCTTAAGCAATTTCTCAAAAAGTCTACAGAAAAGGGAAGTGATACTTATCGGCCTGTAGTTAGAGATATCCGAAGAAGGTTGTTCTTTCAAAACGGGGGTTATGTATGAACCAGTTGGCGCCGCACGCATTGCGCGCACAACACAGATCTGCGGCGAATTTTGATGGTGCGACGAAAATTTTCAAATTTGGCTTGATACACCACGAATATCTGAATTCTCAGCTAAATTCTATCCGCTCCATCATCGACGGCTTTCAACCTCTTTTTCTTCGTCAACCATTATCCTCTTTTTCTCGGTCTCCGGACTGCTTCCGGACAATAAATCTCGTGGCAAACTCCGCCTACTTCGGTGCGTGCCCCGCCCACCAATAGCATTTGGCCCCCTTCCTTTCGCCGACCTCTACCCCTTTTTTCACCGGTCTCTGGGACCTCTTGGAACCAAATTACGACACTTTTGGCAAACTCCGCCCACTGATAGCAGTTGACCTCTTTTCCCTCGCCAACCTCTAACC